AGAGAGAGAGAGAGAGAGAGAGAGATAGAGAGAGACAAACATATATATATGACTGTATGTATGTATGTATGTATGTATGTATGTATGTATGTATGTATGTATGTATGTATGTATGTATGTAATGTATGTATGTATGTATGTATGTGTAAAACTAGCAACCCGTTGACCATGAAGCAAAGCGTAAACCGTGAATCCGAGAGTGACGCCGAATCCGTGTGGATTAGCAACCTGAAGCAGGTTCGCGTGAAAGAACTCTGCTCTCACCTGCCTTGACCCCGGGACCGCATGCTGGCGTGGAGAACATTTCTATTTTTTTCAGGCAAAGGCAGAATTGTGCGCTGCTTCAATACCACTGTTTGCACTGTATTACACTTGGGAAAACAATTCACCTCGGCCTAATCAGGCTAAGAGTCAATTAAAAGACTGGAATTACTTTTTTTGTAATGCAACCCAAGATCGAACAGGTTGAATGAAGCTACCACAAAACTCAAACGCACTAATATTTCCATTATCTAAAGCTCTTGGGTTAACTAACTTGTTAAGGACTTACCTCAGATCTCTCTCTTCAAGCACCGCAAATTACATGGCTTCCAATACAATATATCACTCAATAACTGCGGAAAATCACAAGAAATTCCATTAAAACAACTACACTCTTCCAGCTTCCATTGTGTTTACCTGCGACTTACCTGGAACGAGAGTGGCTAAACCATCGTTTCCCCATGCTATAAGGGCGAGAGTCTTCAATGGAGAGTGTGATTTTCACCTCTATGACCAACGGTCGATAAGTGCGGGAGTTGACTGTCGCTGAATGTCTGTGCCTCCAGGGTATGCGATTCATAGAAAATGTTCCAGTATAATTTTATGGTAGACTCGTAGATTTTGTGAGACATTTTATTTCACGATTAAAAAAAAAACATTGCATTCTGTATGTAACTACGTTATCATAAATGCTTTGTTATAGTGCTATTGTGCGTATGTGATAGGTATTATTACACATGATACGAAATAAGATAAGATAAAAGTGTATATTTTAACAAAAACGTTGCACCTCTTTTTCACGGGAGACTAAACTATTCTGGCGACTTCCACACGTACCTTTAGATACCAATTAATGGGCAGTTCTCGTAATCGTCAATAATTCATACATTAATGTCGATACAATAGGCATTTCTGTTTTAAAATACCTTCATGAAATGCCTAATAACTCCTATCACAAAGACACACACACATACGAATATATACATATATGTGTGTGTGTGTGTGTGTGTGTGTGTGTGTGTGTGTGTGTGTGTGTGTGTGTATATATGTGTGTGTGTGTGTGTATGTGTTTGTGTGTGTGTGTGTGTGTGTGTACGCGTACACACACATACACACACACACACGCGCATATATATATACATATGTATATATAT